CCAAGACCAAACCTGACGCAGAAGGTTCACCATCTTCGTCCAATTCGTCCGGGCCAGAAATTCGTAGCATTAGATCTTCTAAAGAGACTATAAATGAAACTTCAGATATCCGTGAACCCAGTCCTCCACGCCAAAACACCCACGATTCACCGAGGCGACAGGCAATAAGAGGCGCTTCCTATGGTGCTGGTAAGTCTGATCGTCAGCACACACAGCTACACTCATACGGTGCCGACTTTGGTGCCACTTTCCAGTCATTGCCAACAACGTCGGCTTCATCTATTAAAGCTCCTAATGTACCCAAACCTTCCCGCCAAGGATTATCAAATGCCAGTTTACCTACAGATATGCCACCACCATCGGATCGACTGAAAGGCTTGATGTTGGACTCTTTACCTGCGCATGTGTTCGTCGCATTGCCACAGACTGGAGAAATAGTATGGGTAAACAGTCGATATCTTACATATCGCGGTCAAACTGTATCCGAGTTATATCAAGATCCATGGAGCAGTATTCATCCCGAAGAAAGAGAGGAATATTTGAAAGCCTGGTCGCATGCGGTGAAGACGGGTGAGCAATTCTCTATGCAGGTACGTATCAAACGTTTTGACGGAAACTATCGTTGGTTCTACACTCGTGCTGTTGGCTCCCGAGATATAAGAGGTGTGATAATTCAATGGTACGGCTCTCATATGGATATTCACGACCAGCATATTGCAGAAGTCAAAGCTGCACGACAGGAGGAAATAGAAGCATCCGAGGCTAAGCACAGACAACTGGCAAATTTAATTCCTCAGATCATTTTCGCGGCAACGGAAGACGAGGGTGTAACCTTTGCAAACGAGCAATGGCTCTCGTATACCGGACAAGATTTCAATGATGCCTTAGGACTTGGATTTATGGATTATGTGCACCCAGAGGATCTTGCGAAGTGCCAAATACCAATTGGAAGACCGCCAACTCCATCGACCAGACCAAAGAAACCAGCCGAGCCGAGAAGGAACCCATCTCATACATCTTCGAGTGGTAAATCAGGGCAATCATCCGATCCTTCCGAAGCGCCAACAGAAAAGACTGTGAAAGGAATCCACCAAACTTTGTCGCGAAATAATAGCTCGAGTAGTAGTTCTGTATATGAATTTGCCACAGCAGATTTGTCTGAACTGGCGAGAACTGGAGTCATTAAGGTCACCACCGATGGGAACGGGAGACTGTCTTATACCACTGAAGTTCGGTTGAGATCGAAGACTGGAGAGTATCGTTGGCACCTTGTACGATGTGTGGAAGTTGACAACATCAACCTCGGAAGTGGAGATGGTTCCTGGTTTGGTGCTTGCACTGATATTAATGATCACAAATTGCTGGAAACAAAGCTCAAAGAGGCCATGGAGTCCAAGGGTAAATTCTTAAGCAACATGTCTCACGAAATCAGGACACCTTTGATCGGCATTTCTGGGATGGTAAGCTTTCTTCAAGACACCACCCTCAACGACGAACAGCTCGATTATACGAACACTATTCAATCCAGTGCAAGTAGTTTACTCAACATTATCAACGACATATTGGATCTTTCCAAGGTAGATGCAGGTATGATGAAATTGTCATACGAGTGGTTCCATACACGTTCTCTAGTCGAGGAAGTTAATGAAATGGTTTCTACCATGGCTATCACTAAACGGCTTGAGCTTAATTACATCGTCGATGTTGATGTTCCTGAAATGGTAAAGGGAGATAAATTCCGCATTCGTCAAGTCTTACTGAACGTTATTGGCAACGCGATTAAATTCACAACTGTTGGTGAAGTGTTCACGAGATGCAGGGTATACACAGAAGATGACACACCACCGTTGGTCAACGAAATAATGCTCGAGTATTCTATTGTGGACACGGGTAGAGGATTCACCAAGGAAGAGGCGGATCTCATCTTCAAGCCGTTCAGTCAGATTGATGGCAGCAGTACAAGACAACATGGTGGAAGTGGCTTAGGATTGGTTATTTCGAGACAACTGGTACAGTTACATGATGGCAAGATGCAAGGTACTGCGGTGCCTGGTAAAGGATCTACTTTCACTTTCACTGCGAAATTCGGACTACCCACTGCAGAAGATCATCCAGAACCACTCACAACACCTCAGTTGAGCAAAGTGCCATCGTCATCATCGACACCCAACAATATAACATCACAAATTGCTGCCAAGCAGGCTTCAAGTAATCCACTCTTGGTCAGCAGGCTGTTGAATTCGCCTGCAATCTTCATGGAGAGTCCAAAGACCGAATCCAGTGCTGGTTCGCCTGCTGTACTGTCGTCCAATAGCTCAGAGCCATCTAGCTCTAGCTATTCTGGTCGAACTCGTTTCACAGATAGATCTTCCGCTTCTTCTGTCAATCAGAGCTTGGCTCATTTTGGCGAGGCCGCTCGATCAAGTACTCCTGAGAACATGAAACTAGAGCTTCCCGAGAAGCACTCCCCTTCAGCTTCAGCTTCACCGCTGATTGAATCTGCACCTTCATCGACTCCTGCAAATACTGCCTCGACCCTTCCAGAATCACACACCACTCGTCTGAATAATGAATTCTCCCACGACTTGAAGCACTTCCGACCTCCAATGTACTCGATTCTACTCATTTGTCCGCAAACTCATAGTCGCGAGGCGACGAGACAACATATCGAAATCACTCTACCAAAAGATGTTCCTCATCAAATAACTCCACTTGCAAGTGTTGAGGAGGCCAGAAGTCTTATTAGCGGAGATGATTCTGTCAATTTTACACATATTGTCTTGAATCTTGGTTCGGCAGAAGAAATAATACAGTTGATTGATCAACTCATCGCATCGGTGATGTTGCCTCAGACTTCAATTGTTGTCCTATCAGATCCTGTACAGAGGCAAGAAGTCATTAAGATGGCTCAATCATACGACTACGATCAAATGGCTAAAGATAATCGTCTTACATTCATATACAAACCTGTTAAACCGTCAAGATTTGCAGTCATTTTTGATCCAGATAAAGAGAGAGATTTGAGTACTGATCGTAATCGTTCGAGTGCGCAACAACAAGTCGCCAGTCAGAAACAACATTATTTGGATGTGGGTCAGCGTCTTGGGAACAAGGGGCTGAAGATTCTATTAGTAGAAGACAATTTGGTCAATCAAAAAGTTCTCTTGAAGTTCCTGAGTAAAGTTGGAATTGCGGTGGAGTTGGCAATGGATGGTGTGGAATGTACAGAAAAAGTATTCTGCAAACCGCATGGATTTTATTCTTTGATCTTGGTATGTCTTTCTTTCCTTTCCGCTATCATGTCATATCATGACATATCATCACCCTGCTCCGATCTAACATAAACTAACACACCCAAAAGTGCGATCTTCACATGCCCCGAAAGGACGGCTATCAAACCTGTCGCGAAATTCGCGAATGGGAAAGCCAAAGATCAACCACGAAAATGCCAATTATCGCTCTAAGTGCAAATGTAATGGCGGATGTGCTGGAGAAATGTGTTCAGGCTGGCTTCAACAGTTACGTGACTAAACCCGTGGATTTTAAAGAGTTGAGTAAGGCGATGAGTTCCTTGCTTGATCCGGAGGCGGGGGATATGGGAGGTGCGTTGATGAAAGCGCCGAAGAAAGCGTCGTGAGATGGGGAGAGATGGGGAGAGATGGAGATGAGAAGAGAAGGGATGGGAATGGGGAGAGGCGAGGAAGGGAAAAGATAAAGGGATATTTATGAGTTGAAATGTTACTAATACTTTTGATTTCTTTCTTGAGTATCTGGTTCTTAATGAGCGGTGCATTGCTTGGCGTTTTTCATTTTCACTTTCTTCGGTTGCTTTTTTTATATCTTCGTTTTATCTTTTCATATTCAAAATGGGATTTGTTCGCGTAGCTGAGCGTAGGGGGTATTTAATGCACGGGGGATTACCACTGTGCGCATGTAGATGGTGGATGGATCGAGGGGGGAGAGAGGGTAAATGAATGAAGACGGACATGTAAATTATATTATGGATAATGTGGATTGCGTCTGTCTGTTTGTCTGTCTGTCTGTCTCTCTAGGGACTTTTAGTTTTTTTTTTTTTGTTTTTTTTTTTGAAACATAGATAGCGTAGGGTACCTAGGTTGAGGGCGATCGATATGAATCATACGATGGTGATGATTTTGAGAGCGAATTTAATATGTTTTGTTTTATGATTTGGTATTATTTTGGTATTATGATGTGATGTGATGTGTTGTGTTTGTTGTGTTTGTTGTGTTGTGTGTGGAGGAGCACCAGATGTATGGTTTGATAGGTATTTGATGTGTGAGTCTATGATAGGTAGTGAGTGTATTTGGTGTTGTAGACTACGAGACTACCTCGACTATCTAATATTTGACTTAGTGCTATGGCCTTGAATATTAGGCCACACTGAGAATTAGAAATAAACCGAACAAAGTTCAAGCTAGCCTCGGGGAGAAGGCTACGGACCGCCGCGGTGTTGAATGTGGGGAAACGAGAAGGTCTTGTTTGTTACGTAATAACAAAGGGATTTACAATGATAGGTAGACTCTACGATAGTGCTTGGCAGGGTGTGTAAGGAGTAATTTGATGTTTTGATCTCGATTTAGTATTTCAGGAGACCGGAGTAGATTGAGTACGGTCGTGTTTAAATCAATATGAGTGAGTCGCGTCCTTAGTGTTACAATTCATTTGGTAGTATTGTCGTATAAACTTCACTTGTGTGTTTCGTTACGACAATGAGGTGGCTGTGAAGATATAAAACAATCAATTGATAGATCTAATTGATGGAATCTTGAAGAATATCGAGATCGCATTCTACCATTCAACAAGAGCAGCCCTAATTATCACGTGATATTTATGCTGCACGGTCCACTAGCTGATCATTGCAGCTAATTTTAGCACAATAAACTGGATTTTTCACAGCTAGCCTGACCTAGTAAGCACTTCCTGAATCTTTTTACACTATTCGCGCTTCTTCCCGACGAAACAACTTCCATCAACTTTTCGGACCACCACGTACAACATCAAAATTCATCTTACATTCAAAGAATTTTGATTCGCATACGGTTCCTCATTCACTTCGATTATCTCAAGTTGATAAATAAATTCAATTCGCATTGTCGCACTTCTTCACCTTCACATAATCGCGAGTCGCGCCATCACTTGACAACTCTCCAAGATGGTTGGAGCTCGCCGCACACGCGCTGCTGGTGCCAGTCCAGGTGGTTTCAAATCACTTGATGATATTCCAAAGCCTACACGCGGAAAGGGAAAGAAAATCAAGGCTGAATCCGTCGAACCTTCAATCGAGTCCGAGTCCATTGATCCATTCATCACATCCGCCGAAGGCAACAAGAATACGGAGTCGCAAAAGGCTTCATCACCTCCTACAAATCCTTCCAGAACAAACTCTCCAGATTCGCACTCACCTTCACCTACACCGGTCGATTCACGACTTGATTCACGTTCTACCTCCCCACCTAAAAATAACACCACATCAAATGACGCGTCTTCGGACAACGACGTTATTGATCAAGAGCAAGATACACAGCGCATTGCTCATCTCGGATCCAACAGAAAGAGATCTCGAGTATCAGAGTCTTCTACCCATCAAAGCGTTGGCATTACAAAGGAAGACGCAGAAGATGATGAGCAAAGGGCCAGCAAGCGTACACGTAGACAGGAAAGCCAGGACACCGAAGATGTCAATGTTGAAGCCGATGTTGAGAATGAAAAGTCGACCGAACCAGAGCCTACACCCGCAAAGAAACCCAAAGGTCGTCCTCGCACTCGCGCAAAGGCAACCCCTAAGAAATCTGCGAACCAGACTCGTGGCCGCAAGCAAGATCCAGTCGTCCTCAATGATAGCAGCTCAGACGAAGCAGCCGAGACAACTGTATCACCTTTCCAACCTCGATTGAACTCTACACCAAAACAAGCCACCGCGCCTTCTCCACGTACTCCTCAAAATCAGCAAGAATTGATTTCTTCTGAAGAAGATGAACCTCAAGCTGGTCCATCTACCATTAGTCATTCAACCTCCAAACCTACACTCCCCTCTCCAGATATTCGACCGGTTCCTCAAGCTGAAGCTGAAAAGCCAGCTTCAACTATCACTGAAACTGGCCCTTCTCCCTCGAAGCCTCGTGCACTTCCTCCTGTTACTCGACCCGTTGCTCGAGCAATTTCGACGTCGTCTATCAAGATTACACCTGGTATGGGAAAGACCGAAAGATTGCGTTTAATGGTGATGCAAAGATATCATCCAGAACGACTTGTTTCGCCAACTAAAGGAAAAGAAGTCGCGAAGGAGGTTGTGAAAGAGGTTACCAAGGATGTTGCTCAAAGCACAAATGATGTATGTTTCAAGAATCCACTCACCAACTTGTGCCATGATACTGACACAACGAAGGCGGCTCACAATGAGCGTAAGAAGACGACCGCTGTGGCTTCTTCCAGTGAGACTCTTTCCAAACCCGATGCTCCTCATTCAAGACGTCAGTCTCGGGATGGACACAAATTAACGGATCCTTATCTAGTAGCTATAAACAAAGTTTTCACTAATCATAAAGACAAGTCGAAGGCTATGCCATCTATCGAACAAGTTACCGCGTTCCTTAATGGCTTCGATGCTCAACAAGCTTCGCACAATGGCAAGAGACAAATGGTTACTCAAAAATCCGCTCGTCCTCTGCAACCAATAACACCCAATCGCTCAGGATTTGTTGTTCCAGGTTATGGAAGTGATGACGATGACGATGACGATGACGATACCGTGATGTCTGATGAGGATGAAACATCCGTCGTCGAGGAACCAAAGACACCTGAAGCACAGATTACTCCTGTGCCAACTGAAAGCCCTCGAAGCTCTTGGTGGAACCCACTCTCTACTGTTGCCACGATGCTTACCAGCCCGTTCCGCAAACAGGCCGATGGTGCTCCAGCTCCGCTTCCTTGCAACAAGCTTGTTCCACCACCATTCATTTTCAGCCAGCCACCAACCACTCCTTCGGCAGTCCCGCTCAAGCGTATGTCTCACTCAGATCGCAAACGCAACACCCGAAACAATGTTCAAGGTCGTCTTGGTGGTTTCCAAACCGAACGTCGTCCACGACACAAGGATATCGGAAGATCACCAAGCTCCAGGAATGGTCTTCTCACCCCAGCCGAAATCAAAGAGATCCATAGAGCACAGGATGAATACGCCGCCAAGCATCAGAATAGAGGTCCTTTGATCGTAGCCAATCGTGATATTCATAAGGCCGCACGAGCATCTCAAAGAGAATCTCAGGCTAAAAAGGCCGCTGTTGCTGATGCAGGCGAGGAAGAAACTTCAGCATTCACACACGTTCCAGCAGGCGAGAAGCGTGATGCCAACGGCACACCAAAAGCCCCTAGCCAGCGCTGGAATAATTTCTTAGAGTCTAGTGTTGATTCAGATTACGGCCCCAGATGGGTTCGATGCCCAAATGGTCTTTATATTCGAGAGGGGTCCACTGACAAACAATTTGAATCGGGCGATTTTGGCGATGATTCTGCCTGGCAAGATCACTATCGTGATATCGACGCTTTCCCAAAGCAAGATATCTACAAGGGAGCAGGCGTCCAAAATCCACTGAACTCAGCTCAGCTTCTTGAGCAGGCTTATTTACGTGCTGAAGGAGATAAGAGCATCCCAGACGAGAGCGAAAATGACTATACTTATGTCACTGATCAGCGTCAAAATAGAGTTCTGTTCTATCCAAGAAGTCCTTACAACATGTTCCAAGTCCCAGGTAAAAAGCTCACCGCGACTCATATTGCGAATATCAAGGAAGGACTTCCTCTTCTTAACCCTCGCGATGAATACGGAATCGCTATCAAGATACCTACTGGTGAGCCAGGTCAGCCAGCTGATCCAAACAACAATATCTTCAACCAATTGGCAGAACAGGCAAGGAGAGCTCAGTACAAGGATGCTGTTGAAATGAAAGCAGGCAGAACTTTGGAGACAAAGCGATGGACTCAAACCCCTCCACCAAAACCCAAGCCTGTCAATGCCAAACTTCCTGGTACTGTTGAGAACACCCCGGCTCCAATATCCGAGGCTGTACAACACGCCATGAAGAAGGCCAACAAATACTTACCCACAAAGGGCAGTGGTCTTAGACAGGTTTCCACCATGAGCCCTGTCCAGACTGATCAGGAGAAGAGCTTGAAGGCTGCGAAAGATTCTAAGCCCATGTTCAACTTTGATTTCACCGCTGCATCCATTGGCTGGAATGCTGACCCTCTGGTTATGGCACGTGTTCAGGAGCGTCTGGGTGAGGGTTACATTCCTATCACACCCATTCCCGACCACATTTGGCATGAACATGATGATCTTCACCAAGGTCCAGTAGAGCAAGCAGTTGCAGCATTGTTCGAAGGAATCGACTCCAGAATGTTTGGATCTATGCACAATGGAATCCAAGATCCATCACGACCCCAACCCAAGTACTGGGACGAGCTTCCAGAAAGTCCAGTTGCTGAACGCTCCATTAGATTATGGTAAACTCTAGCGGAACCTAATCCAGTCTTCGCGTTAAGTGTCTGTCTCTCAAGACGCTTAACTTTCAAATTGAACCTTAACATCAATCATTAATTGAAAACGCTCCTACTTTGGTTGCGGGGCTCTCCCTTGATGGTTCAAATCCATCAGGCATGCGAGTCGCCTTGATATTCTTGATTTGGTTCAAGACTGGTTATATTCTTGCTCGATTTATCTGGTTTATAACATTGGGTGCGTGGTGCTGGGTGATAATGATACCTTACCTTTACATGATTGGTTTTCTACTGTTTGAGTTTTTAATGGGATAGTCAACGATGGCGGGCGCTTTGGATTATGATCGAGGCCTTTCTTTTTCACGATATGATACGATCGATACCCTTCTCCTTCGCTCAAAGATACACCTTTTGCACATGTCAGATGAGCGAGTTACATACTCTGACAATGTGCGCTTTCTACATCAAATATTTCGTCTTTTCGACACTACCAGCAAGATGAATTATCTCATCGGCACATTAATTTTACATCACGTACATATTTACAACGGGATTTTCGAAACACCGAGGATACGATTGCTCAAAGCTTGGTTTGGGAGGTGGCTCTCTCCTACCCGTCTTGTTGCAGTCTATCCAGCGTTTCTCAACTTTCTCACCGTTCATGTTTACGAGATTGAACATATCAACATTAATATCAGCACCCACACACATATGGCGAAGAACATTGAAAGAATGAGAATCACAGAATCTAAGTTATAAGAATGGATTATGGCATTGGAGTTTGTTGAATATAAGAATGGGTGATTGAAGTGACTGCGTGTGGATGAACGAAATGGATTTCAGAAGATAGTCGATAGCAGTGCGTTTTGTGCACTCATTTCTTTTCTTATGTATTACACTGTGGGGACGTCCCCCCACGGTTGCGTTTGCTTTTTTTGTATTACACTGTGGGGACGTCCCCCCACGGTTGCGTTGATTTTTTGTATTACACTGTGGGGACGTCCCCCCACGGTTGCGTTGATTTTTTGCATTCCATCATGGGGACGTCCCCCCATGATAGGTCTGCTTCATTTCCTTTTTTGCGGCTTTCTTCTTTGGTCCGATGTCACCATGCAATATGCAAAGCTCGGGGAACCCAAGTTCAGATTGTTACCTACATGTAGCGGGCGGTGGATTGAGATGAGGGAAACGCGCTAGCATGCAGTCTTGTTGCTGCCTTTTGTTTTGGAGTTTGATATTGGCAGGGTACTTCACTTTATTCGGAGAGGTCTCTTGTCTGCTGGACGCAGTGGACTATGGATTCTCTACGTTTCAAAGGATTACGTACATGCTGTATCGGATCGGTATTTGTCTTTGGTTCTCTTTAGCATGGCATTGGGATGGAGTTTGTCTTTCTCGGTATGGGCATTGGGCATGGTATGAAGCATGGTATATGGGATTGCATGGAATTCTAAGCATGGAGCATGGTTGGTGCATTAAGCGTTGCCTTCTTTCGCATTACAAGCAAGTTCTCTAGAGAGATACCATGAGTAGACGACAATGATTTGTACATACTGTCTTTACAGGTTTCACACGGAAGGTAAATATGAATGGGATTTGAAGGGATGGATGGGATGGATGGGATACAAAAGGGAATGATTGGCCTATAGGGCGCGTAAAGAGTAATTTGTATGGGATACAACGAATAAGTAAAAAAAAATTAAAATTCTAAAAAAGATCTTGATGTTTGTGCCTTTGCGTGTGATGTGAATTTGTGGTGATTTGACTACATGTTGGGATTTCTGCTTTGTGATGGAGTGAAGAGATGGATCATGATGAGCGAGGGGTTCAGCATTCCTTTCGGGGTTGTAACGCTTATGTGAATGCTGTGTGGTGCTTCGTATGGTAAAGTAAGTGAGTTTGTGTTGATTCTGGGTATTGAGGATATCTTGAATAGAGGTACCTGTTTGTATGTATTGTGCGTTATAGTATAGTATGATATGATATGCTAGGTATGATATGGCGGGTATCAGGTACTCGATGTGATGGATGGATGGATGGATGGATGGATGGATGGATGGATGGATGGATGGATGGATGGATGGATGGATGGATGGATGGATGGATGGATGGATGGATGGATGGATGGATGGATGGATGGATGGATGGATGGGTGGATGGATAGGTTTTACTTGAATCTGATGGATTCTGAGTATAGGTATGGGTATGAGTATGGTGAGAAGAGTTTGGGTTGGGTTGGGTTGGGTGTGGATGGGGATGGGGATCAGGGAGGTGGTGGTAATCTGTGGCTGGTTTATTCATGTTAATAATGTTTAATGTTGTATCTTGAGATTTGCATCGGTCATCCAGGGTGAATGAATCGAGTTTCGGTGCGAAAGGTTTTGGTTTTTGGATTGGAAATTGGGTGGGAGGGCTGGATCTGTGGGACTTAAGCGAGGACAGCTTGGACGACAATTGAGGGAGGTTTGTCTCATCGATTTTGTCCGACTGCCTTTTACAATATATAGATAGACAGAAGTACTGCATGCTCAGCGTGGTAGTAGCTATAGATGGAATGGAATAGTTAAGGGTTCACTACTGCTACTTCTACCGCCTGTGCAGTTTTCAAGTTGTCTACGGACACGAATGATATGGATCGTTATGGATCGTCACACCCAGTGGAACAATTGCTGCAAACATACAATAGGTACTCTCCACGCTTTATATTCCACATGCCACATTTTCCGGCAGCAGCGACATAAAATCACCTTTACAATAGTCAAAAAAAAATAGCTTGGCGCAAGATCGGGGATGTTCAGTTGGGGGGTCAACAATCCGGGAAAAGGATTCGTGAATAATTGTCTTATTGATTCTTTGTTCTGAAATTTCGAACTCGTTACTTATTGGACTCAGAAGATCCCCCCATCTTTGTTCTAAAAGTACCTCGAGCGTACCTCGGGGGTACATCATTTACCTTTCAAACAAAGAGTTACAAATCCAGAGTGATATATGAATGGATAGACGGAGTGTGCGTTTTAGTCCGACGACAAAGAAAGAGGAGATATTTTAGGATGTTGGTGAATACGAATAAAGAACCCCATACGATTTCGTGTAATCAATACCAACAGGAAGAACTGACTCGAGGGAATGGTACAAATGGACGTGGTAATGGGAATTAAAATACATCAGGAGATTATAAATAGGCCGACTCAAAGGTGCAATCTACGTGGCGAAATACTCCCTCCGAGATACACATAAAGGAAATAGAATTCTAGAAAAAATCATGAAGAAATGGAATAAAGAAGACTTAGTCACTACCATGTGTAGAGACGAGAATGTGCAAAAAGATTAATAGTTAAAAGTGTTTGGATCTTCTAGAGTTTTTTTTATTTTCTTCTTCTCTCGATTCTAGCAAACACGAATTTTGATAGCATTTATTATTATTATTCATACTGAGTTGAACACCAACCAGCAAATTCATATTTTTCTTGCTTTCAGTGAAAGAGAAGTAAGGATTTGAGAAGAGGGTTCTGTCTCTTATAGTAGGCATTATTTGAGTTGAGCATAACCAAAGAAAGAAATACCACCAAAAGCCATCATTTCATCTTCTCACAATCTACTCGCAAGATCTCAAGTCTGAAGCCCAGCAGAGAAATAACCCATAATTTGTCAACCATGAAAATCACACATACAACCTATAACGAGGTACGCGGCGGAGCACCTAGTCCAGTTCCTCCCCTATCTCGCAGTCCCCAATTCATAACCACACCTACCGCATTCCGATTCGATACCAGCACACCTCCCCGCCTCGACACACCTACGCGTTCTGCTTCGCCGCCTCCCAGTAACCCCTTGGTACATACCACGCGTCGTCTAAAACGGTATTTGAAAACCTCCTTTCGAAACCGGACGCGGCCTGTAAGTCGGCGGCTTTCGCGGTCGAGACAGGGGACCAGTATACGGTATCCGCCTGGCGAAATGCATCCGCCGACCGTTCCGACACAGGTGGGGAAATACCACAGCGGGAGTGTGCGCGGGAGTATTTCGTCCAAGGGAGAGGAGAGGATGGTGGGGGAAAGAGGAAGTCAGAGTTATGAGAGGGGGTTGGAAACGCGATATAAGCATGCGAAGGGGAAGAAGCGAGCGAGTTATTTGAAGCCGAGAGAGGAGGCGAGAGTGAGTTTGGGGGAATGGGGAGGGAAGAAGGGGACGGCGGGGTTGGATTTCGAGAGTTATATGAAACAGCAACGGGGATTGGAGAGGGATTTTGGAAAGGGGTATGCGGGGGGGAATAGTCCTCCTAGTTCGTCGAGTTTGAATCTTCTGGTGGGGAAGAATGAGAGGGAGGCGAGGAATGGGAGTCCGCCGAAATTTGTACCGAGAGAAGATGCAGGGGGGAGGAATGGGAGGGGAGAGAAACATGGGCTTGCGTATGGGGGAATGATGCAGTTGGATCCGGAGACTTATATGAAACATCAGCGGGGATTGGAAAAAGATTTTGCCAAGGGCGTGGGGTTTGCTGGGAATAGTCCTAGTCCTCCGCATAGTCGTGGTGAATCGCCACACAAGGCGTTTCCGCGCGGAAATGCAAATCATTCGTCTATTCCGATTCCGATTCCGATTCTGATACCGCCGCCTGCGGGATATACGTATGAGAATGGGACGGGAAATACGAGTCAGAGGGATAGTGTGAGGTTTTCGGATGTGCAGTGGAGTAGTGTGGGGAGTGGGGGGAGTGCGACGGGAACGACGGGGACGACGGATAGTGGGAATGTTGTGGAGAGCTCGAGAGGGAGAGGAGCGGGAATCACGACGGGAAAACATAAGGCTGCGCCGGGACAGAGATTAAGAAGGAAGGGGAAGTTGGAAGAGAGAGATCAGAGTTCTGCGACTACGCCGGCTAGTTCTCGTTCGCAGACAATCAGTAAAGAAGATGAGATGGCTGGTGATTTGAAAAGACTCCAGGAAATGCATCGAGATAGCGAGGAGGAAGTGACGAGCATGGAACAATTAGAAGCGATGAGAGCGGCAATGTGGAAGGGGAAATTGGAAAGAGTAGTCCCGCCCAGTTCTGAAATACCCAAACACATGGATCTGCTACATCACTCGAATCCGAGCTCGACTTCGAGTCGGGGTAGTAAAAATAGTAAGAATAGTAGAGGTAAAGGAAAGGGGAAAAATGTAGAGGGTAGAGCAAGTCCGATCCAGAAACTGAAAGGGTATATGGGACAGAGTCGCGATGCTGTGCATGATTCTCATGAAAAAAAGACGTCTTCGAAGGGAAAACTGCCTAGTCCGTTTGAGTATTTGTTGTATCCGAGTTACGACGGGAAGAAGAGTGGAAGAGAAAGTACAGAATTGAGAAAAGGCTCTAAATCAAAGTCCAAGGGTAAATCTAAAGAGGGAGAAGACAGCGACGATGACTTCTGGGGATGTGTCGGCGAAACGCATAACGAGAGTGGGATATTGCTTTCCCACTCCCCTGCGCTGCCATCAGAAAAGTCTCATCAAAACTCCATTCCATCCGGGGTTGAACTCCCTAAGAATCGCAAAGCGAGCGAAGATTCCTGGAACACGCATTTAAACGATCTCTGCAAACTTTGTCGGAAACACGAACGGACCAGCTCGCGCGGTCTCTGTCATTCCTGCGAAGATAATTTCCTCAATACGAAAGCGTGGGAAGATACGACTTTGCAATTTGATAGCGATGATATTCCTCCGACGCCGCCTTTGAAAGATCGGAGAAACATAACGAGGGTGCGCGACATGCTGGCTACGACGCCTCCGAACTATGATGTTGAGTATCGACCGCCTGTTCCTGCGAAAGATATCCCTGGGGAAGAGAGAAAGAAGATCCATGTATCGAAAGTTGAGCATAGTCGACCGCAGATTGTGAATCCATCGCCGGTTAGACAGGAGAGTCAGATGCTGGTGTATGGGGGAATGGGTGATAGTCCGAGGGATATCGAGATAGGGTTTCCGGAGTGGCAGACGCATAGTTTGCAGATTGAAGGGGAGAAGACGGAGGAGATGTTTAAGAGGTGGTCGCAGAATTATAGGGGAGGTGGGACGGAGGAGAGGAGAGATGGAGATGAGCGGGGAAAGGAGGAGGGAGATGTGGAGGAGCCGAGGGATAGCGTTTTTTATGATTTTTGGAAGGATATTTTGAAGGATGATAAGAGACCCGAAACACCGAAAATGGAGGAAAGGAAAGCGAAACTTTGAGCTTGGATAATGTGATAGATAATTTATGTATGTGTGTGTAATAATGGATCAACACTTTTTGCAATACTATTGGGTACTATGAGAAAGACGTTGATTTGAATATCCCACTTGTGAATCTCTATGGTAGAAAACCGAGTTTTGTATTCACCACAAGTGATTGAGAGGCCTCACTTGAGATACTCTGAATCTTAATTTGAAAGATGATATTTTTATTTGAGATGAATTCATGACATCAAGGAGGATTAATGGGATCGCAAAACGTTGGCATTCCTCTCTATAAAATGATCATTTCCTTAACTTTTGATACCCGTTAACAATGCACATAACGTTCATGATCCTCCAATTGGACCTTCTCCACCTGGTACCAGCTACTCTATTATTAGCCCTTGACTGTTTCTCATGATGCGTATACCAAGACATGGAAAGATACGTACCATAGCAATACCATTACCGTTCAGTAAAATCTTAGGAAGCTTTGTTTGGCTTCCAGATTGGTGGTCACTACGAGTACTCAGTAAAAATCCAAAAGGTTCATGGAGTGAAAAGATACATACAATTCGATAACATCTTCCAAAACCATATTGACGTAGTCATCGAAACCAGTGAGTGTGCCGGTGAATTCTGGTGATGTGTGAGTATGGATTTCTGGAAAGAGGTGATCATGGAGGTAGTACCTTTGTCACCTTTCATGACAACCCAGATCTTAGAACCGACACATTTGTCAATAAGTTCTAATGATGTGTTAGTTTGTGCGTGTGTTTGCGGGTGGATACAATAACTGACCAAGAGGGAGAAGTTGGCTGGCCATTTTGGATGACTGGTTTGAGGTTTACTGATCAGAATATTAAGCTTGCAAGAAAATTAGTTTGCTGTATGAAATTAAAATGACTGTGTGGTAAGAGATTCAATATAGCAAATCTTAGTGATTGCCCAGGTCTGGCATTGACTGTGAATCCATATGGAGGGGGCAATCAATCAAGGTTGAAGCACGTGAGATTGACAGCGCAGGATAGAGGGATTTGACTCACAGTTCAACACCACAGGAAGATATTAGAAACCGTATCACAGAGTTCGTCTTATTTGACGGTTAATGGTTTCGTTGTTTGTTTCTCTCCTGTTCGTTTTAAAATCGCATAAAACCTCGTGATTCTTCAACTAACAGACAATTTCATCTTCAAGCCTCAGGCATCAACACCGTTCGGTTTCCTATCATCGACCTCTAGGATCAACAATTGGTGTGCATCTGCCTAGTCCTCCACTCCTTCGTAGGACCACAATTCTCTATACAAATGCTCGTGTCATGCTCCCAGGTAGTCATGGAGCATATACGGTGGGCAAATCACTTCGGCGTCCCATTATGAAGAATATAACTTCCTTTATTGGGAAATCAAATTTAGCCTCTGTAGAAGCAATGGGTTCAGCAATTGCAGGCATGAGTGGAAAGAGAGCAAGGTATGTTTGGAACTCTGCACTGCAACTTATATATTCTTGAAGCTGATACATGTTTCGCAGTCCTGTGGTGACTCGATCAATCTCATCCAATTCCCCAAAGACATGGCAGCCAAGTCATGGCATCATCTTCAAAGATGTTTCTGCACCAGGGTCACCGAGACATTTGAGTACGGATTCTGTAGCAGAGAATGAGCAGAATCTAGAGTTTCACTCATACGTCGAAGATAGTTATGTTTTGGCAAACGCGCACGTTGAAAGCTCGAAAACTCAGAAGGTGGCGACAGTGGCTCAGGAAGAGAGCTTGGAGCCTGGGACAGCAGCAGATGTTCAAGAGGCTGTGGACGGACAAGAGATAGCAGATGACATTCTGGAAGATCCTGCTAAGAAGGAACTTCCGATTTCCGAATCCACATACCAAATGACGGAGGAATTGTTTAAAAAGGCGAAAAATGCCGAGCCAGAGACACCAGAATCCTACTGGTCACATACTCTATATCGTGGGCCAGAGGAGAGTGGTATTCCGAAGAAAGTTAAAGTACATTATTGCCGAAGTCTGCAAACCACGGAACAAACGCTACGACAACATTTCTTGGGCAAAAAGGTTCTGGGATTTGATATAGAATGGAAGGCAGACGCACGCGTGTATCATGGGCCAAAGAAGAATGTTTCTCTGATCCAACTCGCAACAGAAGAGCGAGTAGGTCTCTTTCACATTGCATTGTTTCCACAAATCAACGCCTCGGAACTCGTGCCTCCAACTTTGAAAAAAATCATGGAGGATCCAGAAGTCACCAAAGTAGGCGTGGCAATCGGCGCAGATTGTACACGTCTCAGAACACATCTTAACATTGATTCAGTCTCTATATTTGAGCTTAGCCATCTTCACCGATTGGTCAAATATACCCTTTCCCAGGAATACGATCTGATCAATAAGAGATTAGTTTCGCTAGCAAAGCAAGTTGAAGAGCATCTACACCTACCATTGTTCAAAGGCGGGGATGTTAGATCTAGTGATTGGAGTCGAGGACTATCAATCGAGCAAATTTCATATGCAGCATCAGATTCATATGCTGGTTTCCATCTCTACGAGATACTTGAGACCAAGCGCCAAGCTCTAGACCCAACGCCTCCACGTCCATCTCACGCCGACCAAAACGCGCCTATTCCCCTATCACACCTTCCCACAGAAACTCTAACAAAACGAAAATATACTCGACGCCAGGTCATGCAAGATCCCCTACCACTTGACCCCGATTTCTCGCTCGAAGATCCCAAAGCTACCATTGAAGCTGGAACCGAAGCAGGAAGTGAAATAGAGATCAACGATCTCGTGAGAAAAGTCATCGGTTCCGAACCACCAGTAAACATACGAAGAATACACCCCACCCGCGACCCTCACGATCTCGTGAGGAAAATCACCAGTTCCGAACAATCAATAAAAATACGAAGAGTTGAACCCCCCTCCGACTCTAATGATGGCGAAGAATCTCCCGTTCTCCTAGCAGCCGACGTACTTACAACCTTTTACTTGGAATCCAATCCAGAATCGAAAGTTTCACGATTACAACTCGTGCCCTACTTCATTTGGTACCATAATGCCCATCTTTCCATTCCACAGATTGCCAGCATTTGCAGCAACCGGGATAATAGGACTATAATAAAGCGGATATTGACAGTGATCTCGAGAGATAAACTACCTTATGAAAAGCATAGATTGAAGAATCTTTTAGAAGGGTTGTCCAAAAACACGGCCTGGGAGAATTTTAGAGGACTGGTGGAGGCGGTTGATACACCGGATGTTTGTAAGGATTAGAAAGTCATCACGAGAAGGCGTTTAGAATTTGGGGTTTTGATTTGGGCTTGAGAATGGGTGGCATGGGTGGGAAGGGTACATGATATGATACACTACTATGGTTACTCGCGGCGGTCATTGCGGAATGGTTGTTTATTCTGTAGTCCATTAGGCATCTTTGCAATCCTTGGATTCCTTGAGGTTGGGTATATATTGAATTACACACATTTCTGTAAAGTCTGTATTTTGAGCAGGGAAAGAAAGAAATGTGAAATTCCCTACTTTACTTTGTTATGTGCATATATACCTATTGCGGTATAGTAAGAGTACGCTTTGAATAGATAGATATCGAAATCATGAACATGTATGTATGTTATGTGATTTGATATCAAAATCCCTATAGAACTATACTCAAAATCTAGGTAAACCAACCCATTTGAAAGTTGAAACACTTTTATCTGTATCGGCTGAGTATTTTCTCTGCTTGTTCAATATGAGAACTTTACATGCTGCTGTAAGGGATTAGAGTATATTAACTTCAGTTCTTGAAGATGACTACGAAGGAGAGAATGATAAAATGAAATGGGAAATGGGAAATGGGAAATGGGAAATGGGAAATGGGAAATGGGAAATGGGAAATGGGAAATGGGAAATGGGAAATGGGAAATGGGAATGGGAAATGGGAAATGGGAAATGGGAAATGGGAAATGGGAAATGGGAAATGGGAAATGGGAAATGGGAAATGGGAAACATGATATGTAGGGTTAAGATGTGGAAGGTTGGGGGTTGAGTATTATATTTACATACACTGACTATGATATATTATATTAATTGAATCAAGATATTATCATTCCTATTTAAGAGTTAGGAAATGACGATTATTCATATCTGAAAACATCGATGCGCATTGCGGATAATGGTTTGGAAGTGGAAATCATTTTGATTGAACGTCGTATTGTATTATTCGAGATATGAGGATATTTATATCCATCAACTTTCAAGATAATAGTCACAGAACATATTCTATCATTTCGTTCTTATTTTCTTGAAACCCATTCATTTGTTACTATATTGATTTTTTATTTTTATTTTAAATCTTTTTAAAATAGAAATGAAGGTAACAGAATTACAATCGTATACTAGTTCCTAAGCTCCAAAGTTCCTGATATATTTACATATACATATAACAAACAGCACACAACACTCAATCCCTCATAACCCATCTTATAATTTCGATCCGTTAGTACCATTGTCATTAACAGTAGTAGCATGACTCCCCTTCATCGGAGCCCCATTACTCTCATTATGACTCAAACTAGCCCCCTTCATCATATTCGCCGTTCGGTTCTTTGGATCTTTCGCCATACCATTATGCGTACCGCTGAAGTTCATATCCGCGATACCTGGATATCCCTTAATGCCGGTCGCTTTCTCAAGACGACTGGCGAGATCCTCAGAGACTTCGCGGAAAATGGCAATTTGACGTTTAATCGCCTCTTCCTTTCTGCAATTCGCCATGTGTCCGGAAATGTTACTGATAAAGCGATCTTTGGCTCCGTCATCGAAGACCTTCTCCCACAGAGCTCGTGGGGCTTTGAAATCTTCCTCGCGGATTTCAGAGAGGAATGTGACGGCGTTGCCGGTGAAGTGGCCATGGAGCTTATCAGTGTCGACTGTGCGTTCTTTGAAGCGTATGGGTTCGATAGAGGAGATATAATTAGGACGAGATCCTTGGTTGTAGAAAGCCATACCGCCATCACGCTGGAAATTGCCCATACGGTAACTGGTGCGGGGAGCATTGACGGGAAGTTGTTGGTAATTTACACCTACACGATGACGATGGGCATCTGGGTAGGAGAAGAGACGTGATTGAAGGACTGGATCCGCCGAGGGCTCGAGTCCTGGTACCAGGTGAGCGGGATTGAAAGCTACTTGTTCGATTTCGGCAAAGTAGTTGACTGCGTTCTCGTTGAGAGTGAGTTCTCCAACCTTGCGGAGTGGGAATTGCTTGTGTGGCCAGACGTGGGTAAGATCGAAGACGTTAATCTTTTCTTTCTCCCATAAGTCTTCGGCCTCCTTGGCTGTCATAGTTTGAACTTCGAGACTCCACTTTGGGAAATCACCCTTCTCGATCGCCTCATAAAGATCCTTTTGGGCGTAATCTGGTGACTTCTCGGCGGACTCTTCTTGAGTAAAGAACTTAGTTCCTTGCTGAGAGATCATGTGAAATTGACAGTACACCCATTCGCCAGCCTTGTTGACAAGCTTAATGGTATGTCCAAAATATCCATGCATGTGACGCCATCCATCTGGAATACCACGATCACCCATAAGAATCATGACTTGATGAACTGATTCCGGATTCTGAGAAAGGTAATCCCAGAACATTGTTGAATCATCAGCATGAGTGAGATGGGTTGAAGGATCACGCTTCTGGGTGTGAATAAAATGAGGGAACTTGGCTGGATCTCTCAAGAAGAAAACTGGCGTATTGTTGGCAACTAAATCCCAATTTCCTTCATCGGTCTTGAACTTGACAGAGAATCCTCGTGGATCACGAGCACAATCATGCGAACCAGATTCACCACCGACAGTGGAGAATCTGACAGTGATTGGACACTCCTTGCCCTCTTGAAACATGTCTGCAAGACACAAATCATCCAACCCATTTGTAGTTTTGTATACACCGTGAGCTCCACCACCCTTAGCATGTACAACGCGCTCTGGGATTCTCTCGCGGTCGAAATGTGAAAGGAGGTCGATCAGGTGGAAATCTTGGAGGAGTAATGGTCCGTTCTCGCCTACGCGTTGTGTCTCATAGGGATGTGGCATTGGTACGCCATTGGCAGTTGTATAGACGACATCTTGAGACTTTGCGCTTCTATCGTCTTGATAGTCGCGATACTGATCACCGGAAGTCTTTCGGGAGGACATGATGAATTATTGTGAAGATAAAATTGTAGATAATGAAAAGTAATTGGTATCTACAGATGGTAGTATAATAATAATAAACAATCAATTTCTAGACTCAATGGATAGGTCCTGCCATATATGTACCGTGCCTTCTCGGCATTTTGCCTCGTACACAAAAAATCAATGACTTCATGACTCCATGAAAGCGGGATGTTCAATAGAAACCCTTTGATTGGTTGAACAAATTAATTGGAATTGAGACCAAGCAATATGATGCTTTTAGCGTTGACGCTTGCTTTCGATTTATGGAATGCGGAGACATTAGCCGCTAGTGATGAGGTATTACCGTGATACCAACGATCGAGAACCTTTTGATTTCCAAACACGAGTTACATAATCTGCCAGATCTTCGATCATTTTTAATATGCTTATTGACGCTTCTAGGTACCGTATATCTTGGAACCGAGCTATGTTGAACAACGCAGTCTCGAAGCAGCGTTCCTCAACGGTGGCCAACTCTACAATTCGTCAGCGCATTGTCTTCTTCCAAGCAAAGAACTTTCTAATAAGAAGCAACCCGCAAATTCGGGATGTACACAGGAGATACTTCGCATTCATCCAAGTTGAAATCATCACAGTGATGTACTCGTGAAACTGATCCACACTTCTCCTCCCATGGTGGCAAAAAGAACGCGAGCTCCCCATGGAACGAAGAGCATTCCAGATCGTAATCACAATTCCCACCCACCACACGTTTCCGATATGGCGAATGCATAGCAATCGAGATAAACACCATGCAACTTCAATAGGGAGACATAGCAAAAGAATACGAGTACGAACAAAGAAGCTTAAATGATACCTCATGCACTACCTAGTCTCCTAGTTACCGGCATTCGGGCTGTGAGAACAGATTGGGGTTTTCACAATCCCATCGGAGATAAAACTCAAATTCAGATGTGGTGGCGAACCCTCCCCAGATTATTGCAGATCGGGTGGGGTACCTAAGCTTAATCACATGATCTGATTAGTCATCATTCTGGACTTCGTTTCTCTTCGGTTACGATCACGATCTCCACAAATAGATCTGAAGCTCAAGAATATACACTTCTATACACTTCACCAAGTCTTCATCCTGTTTGCTCATATCCATCTATTGGCACCCTCGCTCGCATTCACTCAAACATAACCGAGAATATAGAAGAAGATAATAATTTCGGTGCAAAATCTTCTCTGAATCCTGACCAAGTACCCCATAACCCACAATTTACCTGCGATATCAAAGAAACGGCATCATAGCCATAGCTTCATAGTCGACCACTACATCTATCACATACATCTCATAAAGGCAGTAGTTTACAGTTGTACACCCAAGCTACACTACCCATACAAGTCAATCAGCAACCCAGTCGCTACCTCTGACCTAATTACACACTACACGTTTCCCGAGGTCACTTTCAGAGTTCACTAACCACAACTATCAATACTAGGTATATAAGATCTCATAACCTATGGCCCGTTTTCTTAATCCCAATGAATTTACGCAATGAGAACCAAGGGAAAGATTTCCCCACACATTCTAGACTTTACAACTTTTCGATTATCGAATGTATTCCCCCCCTGCGTGTGTTTGGTGTACTTATCATCTACTAGTTGTCATACATCATTTTGATTGCTCATTCTATCTGTTCTTTACTCCACACCAAAGCTTAGTAGGAATATTAAATAATGCCTATTCCTATTGTAATAGCAGCATCTTATATATGTGTCCTCATAACATTTTACAACTGGCCTTATCATAGTGCATTCCATGGCTTGTAAATGCATTTCGTTCCACTTTAGCTCAACCAACCACAATTAGGGAGTTTTAGCACGAACCAACCTAGTGAATTTACTAACAAAGTTGCCAAAAATGATGCCAAGCTGCTGGTAACTTTTCCTAGGTATATAAGGAACCTTTACCTTCTTAACTTTCTGTATCATTCTCATTTCCCTAGCAAAATAGTATTGTTGGTATTTTGTGATATCAAGAAGGATTAAATTTGGAGAAGCATGTAAGTACTGTTGAATTTGGTCATATCTGTATCTTGTTCCAACCGACCTGAGCTGAAATCTTCCCACACCATTCTGTTCTTTCCAGTAATCTCTGCCATTATTTTTGCCTCTTTTGTCGCCTCCGTTAAGCCCTCCAACAAGTTGCCGTGTTCTCGCAGAAGTCGCCAGTGGCAGACAATGAGAGTTTCGCACCAATGATGAGGAAGTAGGATTTGCACTGAACTATGTGGATCGGTCGGACACAAGGATTGAAACATTTCTGCCACGACAATATTTAGTTTCGCAACAATTGAAAGAGAGGGTGAAACAATCTTACCATATATCTGCTGTTTTGCGCACGTGAGAAGCACTGGTGGATGAGATACAGTTCACAAGGTGACTCCTTGAAGACCGGCAATGTCCATAACAATTCGACAATTAACAAGACGTGACACTAAGTCTCTGCCCTGTCGACACACTTTGGGAGGATCGAGACTACATAACTGCTTTTCATCAATTGTTAGCTATTGTTCACTCACAGTTCAAGTCGAACAATCCCTCCATAAAAGGTTATGGCATAATCACAAATTTTTGATGCATTTTGAGACGGCAGAAGATAGAAAGCAAGGGAGGGCCAACTTACTTCTCTTTGTTCTTTGAAACTCTGAAAAGTTGACAAGATCACACAGTTTGACTGTAAGTTTTGCGGAGCAATGATGATTTCTCTGAGCTCAGTTAGCCATCGTCGGATTGAAGATTGGAGAAGTGTACCTCAGCAGATCAGTTCCAAGTAGTCCCAGATACTTCCATTTGCGAGCACTGACATAGTGTAATGAGTCAAGAACTGAGGTTACTGCGTGGGTTATTTGTTCTTGGATAATCTGGGAACATGCGCAATGAAAATCGAAATCTCAAGCGTGGACCGCCGTGCGTACTTTGAATGATGAAAACCCCAGCGAGAACTGGAGCCTCGTGGGCAAGGTTTCGTGGACGTCGTATTACTAGAGCTCCTAAGAGGTTACCGTGGGCATCATAAATTGTGCAAACAGGGGCACTAGAGAATAAAATTTTTGTTTAAAATGTAGCCTTCAAGCACAAACCACCGGGTCCAATCCCGATGGCTCTAACTTTCGGACACAGACATGGGAGAAGTCTGGCCCTAAGTTGCCTGAGGCAATTTGTTCTTGGATTTGCTAGGAGCCCATCGAGAACTGAAATCTCGTGGGAAGACTTGGAGACAGTATTATGAAATCCGAAATAAGAATCAATGTGCTTTCTTCAACTGGGGCTTATTTGTGGGGTTTGGGGGATTTGCTAGGAGCCCTGAGAAAACTAGAATCTCGTGGGTAGATGATCGTGTTATGAAATCCGAAATAAGAATCAATGTGATCTTCCCCACTGGGGCTTATTTGTGGGGTTTGGGGGATTTTCTGAGAGTCCATCGAGAACTGAAATCTCGTGGGAAGACTTTGAGACAGTATTATGAAATTCGAAATAAGAATCAATGTGCTTTCTTCAACTGGGGCTTATTCGTGGGGCTTGGGGGATGTGCATAGGAACACAATGAGAATCGAAGTCTCAATTGTCGACCGGCATCAACGACTGGAATAAACGTACCTCAATTAAGTTTTCCCAGTTGGGAGTTTGTGGAAACTTTTGAACCTTTTTTCCAGAGGGGTCTTTGAGAATTGAAGCTTCGAGGTTAGGGTTTATTGACAATTATTTGGGGAAGACCTTATTCCAATGAGCTATGATGAAGAAGTAGACTATGTGTCACGAATAATCTGAGCCATTTTGAGAATATGTGTTATTTGGTGATGATAAATTGATGAAGGGAGAATGAAAAGGAGTGTTGGATGTTAGGAGTTTGTTGACGATGAGTGTTGAGAAATTGGTGTGAAGAGTATGAAGAAGAAGAAGAAGAGGAAGAGGAAGAGGAAGTGAAAAGTTGTTGAGAGAAAAGCCAAGTGGGGGATACTAAAGTATCTGTTATCTCGCTCGTACGACTTTTCGTGGTCGTGGTTCCCTTAAGTGAGGGTGCGATTGACTAGTTTGAACTTTGTTCACGATTTTATTTTGAAATGGCAGGAGCGAGGGACCGGGGCGGAGAGACCGGAAGCACCACAACCACATCTAATTTCAAGATCATCTTTTTGAACGAGGCAAGAACAACTGCTGATTTGTTTCTTTCTTATAGATACGTTCTGAGAGATAAGACAATGATCTCCGAGGTTATTGGCACCCAGAATGTGTTTTTGCACAAATGCCTTGACATCCATTAAAAAATTAATAAGGGATTCTGGGTTTGAAATTACTACCGTCTTTGAATTACACAGGCACTCAACTGACTTCCAATTAGTACAAAAAATACTTCACATGAATACCATGTTGAACTGACGGAAGTTCGAAAAGGACTACGATGACTATGTACCCCCACTCCAATATACAGAAGACCTCCGAACGATAGATCTAAAAATCAATGTAAGAATTCATCAATAACTAGAACTTTCACAACAGATTCCTAACTTTTGAACACGATATTGTCGTTGTGTTACTGAGGAAAAAATGTCTCGGCCGACTATTTTAAGCGAGAATGCAACAGGGGAAAGGGGGATTTTGGTGTTCGAATGTGCGGTTGAGTTATGTGGGGAAGAACATCTACTATCCAATTTTCTACTTAATCATCAATTCATTGAATCAATTTACATATCATGGTAAGTGTTTCATAGAAATTAAAATTTGAATCAACTAATCGATATTTCCTGTTCTGTTGCCTGTCTAGGAGTTCAAAAGATAATTCATGGGATGGGTCTTTCATATTAACAAGAGCAACGAGCCTCCGCCCACACAACCAATTGATTCGTCCATAGAATTGAATCTTTGATGTACTGATATCTACAATCATCTCTTCCAATTCAGAATTTAGATCTTGGGACTATTGTCGTAGCCCCCTCTAAATAACCGTGACCGTCCGAATTTCATAGCGACAACACAACCATCTACCATTCGATGCCTATTATTCCTAACAAAGATAACCCTGATTCAAGGTAACCTGATATTAGACTCCATGCCCAAACTCCGAGTACACTGCATTCCACAATTGATCATTCCCTACTGCATACCATACTTCCACCCAGATTGCCAGGGAAACGAAATCTATATCTTGAAGGATGATAAATATTGGTCAAAGTAGATGTGATATACCTAGTTAGGGAAAGATGTAAATGATGCTACATACTCATCTCTTGCGGAAATCTCGTCTAGTTCACTCGCAACTCACCGTGCAAAGCATAAGAAGATACGTAAAGCTTGTTAGAATATGGCTGGGTTCATTAAAACTTCTGTCTCTTATCTATCAACGATCAACTGTCCTCGAAACAGCATCAGACCGCTGCAGTAAAGAGCTTCGGCGGCACGAAAAATCTAGCACTGGTGATACAAACATCAGTCAAACCCCTGCACCTTCAATAGATGTGCAACAAAACACACTTAGTCCTCGAAAGTTTGCCGGAATTGTAAGTCAGCACTATTTGTTTTCTCCAGACTTGATTTATTGAATTACCCCACTTCGAACTAAATCTCACAGTGGTCATCTTTCAAGACTAGTACCTACCTAATCTAAGAATAACCCCACATGACATCGATGCTCAGTTTTACTTTTGAATTTTCGTTGAAAAGATGTTCTATCTTCATTTTAGCTCCTGGTGTCTGAAGATTGGCCGAAGAATATTTTTTTAACCCCCCCCCCCCCCCCCCTTCCCCGGAAGAAACATACATAGCCATTCCAACACACATATATCGCCCAAAAGGATGAACTACCCGGGCGTTAGAGCCAGCATTAGCGTTAAACAGTAAGCACATAATTCTATAGGAAACACACATCTTACCATTTTGTTTCCTTAGTTAATTTCTCTCAACGGCTTCTATTGATTATTTAAGTTTCTTGTTCGTCCAATAATGACGATCGTAATGACGCTGAGAGGACAGCCTGGCTTGGTATTGATGATCTTGGCTCCGTCAGCTCGCTAGTGATTAGCAAACTCGCTAGGCCATTTTTCGCTAAAATCTACTTCATGGGATTCGTGTCATGACACTGCACTTTTACTTCCTTACATTTCTATTCAATATAAAACTCAACAGCTGAGAATTATTCCAGCATAATATCGAAAATCTGAGTCTTATCTCTTTTCCAAATTCGCAATCCAAAATCAATTATGGAAACAACCTTGGATCCCCGATTTCCCCTTGAGGAATACGAAGAGTACGACGAAAAATTAAGACACGACTCTTCTCCCATGAAATATGGGATTACACGAAGACAGAATCTCGAAAGTCCATGGGATCTTGAAAAAAACCGAAGAAATTCATGGGACGGAACATTAAGGCCAGCATCCGAGTTCGAAGAAGTCACATCATCAGACCTGGAAGGAAAGATGTGTGAGAAGTGCAAAAGGAACAAAAGAATGGCGTATAGTTGGAATCCTACCTTTCTTTGTCTTCCGTGGCTTGAATGGATGTATCCCATTAGTGTTGTGGTCACGTCTATTTTACCACTCGTGATGATGACTGTGGTATGTATCATCCATCCCACCAGAATAACCATCACAACTTTCCTTAACTATCAAGTCCCATCAAATAATAATAGTAACTCTATGATCATAGTGGGAAATAAACGAGATAAAGGGATCAAATCCAAATGAAGACATATCAAAAACACCATTAGCAGGAATGACTCACATTGGTTCCTTCGACCTCAGACACGCTGATTTGAACACAACAATGCCTTGGTTATGTACCCAACTTCTGCATCATCGACAAAACAAAGGTTGTTATGATATTACATGGGTATTTGGGAGCTACGCTGGATGGAACTATCTAGCCTCTTGCTGGATGAATATCAGTGCGATAAGCTTTGCTATTGCGGGGGTATTATGCCTTTCATACGCAGTGATATGTCATCATAGGTGCACGAGAATGTTTCAAAACCCAGTGATAAGGGAGAAGGAAGAAGCAAATTTAGTTCCGAAAAAGCAGAGTTATTTGCCCAAATCTGGAGATGGAACTAAAGGGTCACTTGAAAGGTTATTCAGCAGCAAGTGGCGTTCGGAACCAGTGACTCTCGGATATTGCATTCAGTTCGTGTTTACTTTATGGGCATGTGTAATAGTGTACATGGTGACTCAAAGGGGATCTTGATCACAATCTCTGTAGCTGGATTGTAGATTATCTTTCATACTATTTCATTCTACATAATTTTGTACGAGTTTAAAGCCCCTTCAACTATCCTCATTGGTTACGATTAACTTTCAACCCAGGGAAGTGGAGTGATTCATCAAATATGAAAGTTAGTGACAATTTTCCCAAGAGCCTTAGATGACCAACCATATTTCAGTATACTGCTCCTCGTAAATAGTCTCACCTTTCTGATGAAGGCTAGATATTTCTACAATCCATTTGATTGCTTTTAGGCATTAGTCAACGTTGTTTTAAAGATACTTCCAGATAAAAGATACATCACAGGGTCTCCATAATTTGTCAACAAGGTCACATCTGAAGTATTTAAGATCTATGCCATGTCCAGAGTATCTCGGACTTGGGGGACAAATATCTTTTGCGTGTGATTGATGCGAATTTTCAATGATGATTCTTGATCAATGTAAACTTTAGCATGGATCAAGAGATCTATCATAGAGAGCAAGGCTAGTGATAGATAATTGATCTTTGTTTGTAAGGAAAGTAAAGCATAGTTTATCTCCCATTCCTTTCTCTTTTTGAATTGAAGCCATCTATCTTCGAAATTCTCATGAAATTCATGGACGCAATCTCTGGGAATTATTCAGCATTGTAGTTCCATTGTAGTTCCTGATTAAAAATTGATCATCGCTGAGCCTGTTGATCAACAGGACTGATAGTACCATCGTCAAGCCCATGAGAAAGAGGCTTTTTTACTGCGCTATTGGACTAGATTGAAGCACCTTCTGTTTTCAGGATTCAGTATTCAGTATTCAGAAGAAACATTATTTTCCGCTAGTTCGCGTGCATTGGATGCTTCTCGAGGAAGGCGCGGACTGTGTGTTCATCTTTCCGTTTCTTCCAACCAACCCACGCCCATCTTTTTATGATGCCGCCTATCTTCAGTCGTGGAATCTGCTTTCTTCCAAAGAGCCCTTGATTATACGGAACCTTCTTTTTCACAACAATTGCCACGAGGAGAACCATTCCCGAGTCTGCCAAATCACGAATTGATCGGACTCCAATCTTCGCAGTTAATCGCAACCGGTCAACTTTCCTTCCAAGATGTGCGAGATATGTCGGGAGAACTTATTCAGAACACCGCTGATACGATGTTTTCAGTGGATGGGCGTCATATCAAGTCTTCTGGTATGCTTTATCCCGTGTTTACTTTTGACTATTGTAAGCACTTCTCTTCCCAGTTTATGCATTCGAAATCATCGTATCAACCAATATCTAACCAAAATCTCAAGGTATTCATTAACACGCCATTCGCCCAGTTGCCTAGCTCAAATCCAATACCCATGTTGCAAAACATCACACGTCTTGGTCCCGTTGATTTCGAACATTTGAATCTGCCACTATGGCTATGTGCCTTCATCGACGGTGCTGGCCCACATACTCACAAACTCCTAGAGTCAGGCTGCAAAGATGTTACATGGATGTATCAAACATACGCCGGCTGGATTAGTCTGGCTATGGTCATTATCTACTTCAGTGGAAGCTTTTTTGCACTATTGGTCATGATAGGCATTCTGTATGTGTGCGCATCAAATCTTAACTGTCTGCGCGACAAGAGGTATGGAATTAGGTTGAATGTGACAGAAGGACTAGGTCAGAAATTGAATGTTCGAAAGGACATGATGACATCTGGGGATACGAGCGTGGAAGAAAAAGGGCAAATTTCGGCAGTCTGGTTACGAGAAGATAGCGAGGACGAAATTAGAGAGAAAAGCCATGTCAAATTCATGGTTAATGAGTTCAGGAGTAGTACGTGGACAGATCCTCAATGTCTGCTCATAACTATGCTGATATTGTGCCTATTCTGGTTCTTGTCCATAATGACATGCGCGTTGATCTCGTTCATCGTATCTGAGGCTCTAGATTGGTTACGTCGGAAAATTTAGAGTGTACGACAATCGGTCGAGGACTGTTGGTATTAAAAGGTTTCATGTAGTATAACTAGTGTTTTCAGTTAGTAATCAGTATACATGAGTTACTTGGAAGTCCCAGATGAGCTCAGCCACTGTTCAACCTGGCCAAGGCAGCCCTGAGCTTGTGCCAATCTAGCAAATAATTCCTTGGTTTGATCTAATCTTGAAGTACCGGCATGACTATAACAATGTTGCATTCAACCAACAAAATTACTTGGGAGAACTTAGAGTCCCTCGAACTTGCAGAATACCATAATACACCAGTACAACAAGAACTTCCATCTAAAATTTCCAAACTGCAACGATAAGTCTAAATTACCCGTGATTCCAGCGAGAAGGTATTCGATGCACTGTCTAAAATCGGACTTTTGGGAAGGTGAAAGCTCCGGTATCACTTTTGGACAACAGCTGCAAGGATTCAGAGTGTCTATAAAGGAATCGATGTGCAGTGCTTACAATCGGTGAGTCGGGTTATATATTTGGATTGGGTAAACTGTGGGTTAGATTGGACTGTGTAGTATAAAATGGTGACACATGGTTGATTAATTTGAGTTATTTTTTCAAAAAGATTAGAGGTTGAATGGTTTAGTAATATATCATTGGACAGTTTTATAAGAACAATTAATTCTAGTTTTAATTGTGAGTCTCCATCAAGTCTCATTTTATATTCAAATTCTCGGTATTGTGTATCATGAGCACTTGCAGGTATCAATAGAAATTTTCTAGTCAACATATGAACTGGGTCGACGTCATAAATAAATTAAAAGCCTTTTTTGGAGGATGCAAATATACTTTCTATTTCTTTGTAGAGATGCACAATGCTAAAGCAGACATTTCAATTATCTAGAGTTATATTCAAGAACGGCGAGTCGAAGAGAAGACTGGCATTGATGATACACCTCAATTCTTCACGAACATCAATGATATTAGAAGACTAAAAGTAGCTGGTGTCGGTGAATTTAAAGCATTTTACAAGGATATGGAAGTAGCACAGGGCGTTCAAGGCTTAGCCACCTCGTTGAAGGACTCTACCTTGTGATTTCTCTATATGGACCAATCAAGTTGGCAAGTAGTTGAATAGTTAGCTAATTGAATGAATCTCCTACCTTTCACAACTGTGGGGGGAAGTCAATGCACAAGCTGCCTAGCCCCATTAAGCGAGTGCCGCATTTGCATCAGGAGTCCCGAGTGAGCCTGATGCGAATACGCGATGGATGATCAGCACTAGCGCCGGCTTGGCATAGATTTACACAGGGTATGTAGATGAAAAATTGGTAAGTGAACCGTTTTAGAACGGACCTTTTCCTCTTCTTAGTTAAAAAAGAGGTGAAATGAAGGAGATCATGAATACACACACTTCAAGCTAACCAGAACATGGCAAGTGTCCACGGGGCTGTCCACAAGCTCCGGTAGTTCTGGCTTGCTCTCCCTTTGTGGATGAGGTGTACGAATGGATAATATACGTATTGCGAATCATACTCCCCAGCCACAGTTTATGGCTATACTCGTCGTCATCTCGTTGACCGTGAGGCTCGATCCTGGTGATTTTGATATTGCAGTTGCGCGGCATGAATTTATGGCCCCAGTTGAACTTTTGTTGTGTGAAATATAAGTTTGGAGTCATTGGCATGGAAAATGTGTATCATCAAACACAACCTCTACATTCATTTCAACAAACCAAGGCAAGATGCGCTCTTCATCTTCCTACCTACCGCTGGCAGCTAGCCTTGCAACAGCATCTCCTCTTTATGAATCCCCTCTCACTATTCTAAACTGGGGAACAGTGCAAGGAAAAGCCGCACTCAACAGCTCTGTTGCCGCCTATGTTCCCAATTGGGCCGATGTATCCTTCTTTGGTGGAATTCCCTTCGGTGCTTCTACTGGCGGAGCAAATCGATGGGCGCCACCAAAACCCGCATCTCCATGGAATGGTACACTCGATGCTTCGGACTTTGGCCCGATTTGTCCTACATCCAACATGGCTCTTACTCAATATGATATGAGTGAGGATTGTTTGTCCATCAATATTTGGACTCCTGCTACTTCCAGCGATGAGAAGTTGCCTGTTGCTTTTTGGAGTTATGGAGATGGAACGGCACCTCCTCAGTCTCAGTTCAATGGAGGAGGTATGGCTGGAAAGGGTGTTGTTTTTGTCACCTACAACGTAAGTTATTTTCATTCTTTGATTTTCCAATCCTATACCAACATTTGTGACACGAGTCCTTCAAATAATCGATCCATTCAACTTGCATTCAGAAGGTATGAATAGAAGAGTAAAGCTAATTCTTCAATGTTAAACAGTACCGAAACGGTGTGTTAGGGTTTTTAGCTGACTCCCGTCTCACCGAAGAATCTGGCAACAGCTCTGCAGGTAGTAATTCCACCGGCAATTGGGGAGTTCTTGACCAATTCCTCGCCATAAAATGGGTCCACGAGAACATTGCCGCCTTCGGAGGCGATCCAGATCACATCACCGTAATGGGACAATCTTTCGGATCTGCCGCTACCTACCACATTGTCAACAGTAATCTCACAGCCGATAAAGGTATCGTAGGTGCTATATCCGAGTCTGGTGTACGTTCACCAAACGATGTTTATACCAGCTACATTGCGCTCTCATATATCAATCAAACCGCTGCTGAAGTTCTTGGAGCCGAAGCTTTTGAGGCTCTCAATGTCACAACTGTCGAAGAAGCTCGAGCACTTACATATGAAACCATCATTGCGAACACTGGAGCTCAAGATCAACAAGTCAAACCTGTACTTGATTATTATGCCATCCCCGAGAAATACATCGAAACACTCCGCGACGGAGCCGGAAACCCCGTTCCATATATCACTGGAGGAAATTCAGATGAATGCGGTGTATCCGACACCTTCACAACCACCGCCGCCGATTATAAGCAGTATGTCGCCGGTAATTATGGCGATTATGCTGATGAATTCTTGAGCCTTTATCCCGCCGGAAACGATACCCAAGCATCGCTTTCTGAAACCGCTCTTGTTCGTGACCAAAGTACTGTCTCTTGCTGGCAATGGATGAACGGATACACCAACTCTTCCGGTGGTGTCAATGGCTACACATATTTCTGGAACTACCACCCACCCGATGTTGGAACTGCATCCCACGGTAGTGAGATTGTCTACGCATTGGGAAATCTCTGGGCTCAAACTGGTGTTAACTACACTGCTGAGGATTATTATGTTTCCAATGTGTTGAGCAGTTACTGGGCCAACTTCGTCAAGACCACTGATCCGAACTCTGGAGATTCTTATAACAATGGTACTTTGCCTGCTACTTGGGAGCCTAACTCTTCTACAAAGAGAGAGACTTTCAAAGTTGGAGCTGAGTATGGTATGATTGCCGTTGCAGCATCGCTTGCTAAGATTGAGGCTTTCCTCAAATGGTTTGCTGACACCCCAGCTATCTAAGTGAGATGGAATGTGGGAATTGAGGATCTCTCAATTACCACATAAGCTCTTGACATTGAGATTGAGTTGAAAAGGTTTGCAGTGCTGGCGGACCTTTTGCGTCGTACCAGAAGTTTGTTGGGATTTTCTGTCGAAAAAGTTAGTTACATTCATGTAATGATTGAATTGTAGCAAATTCATCCATTTACGTTGATTGCTGCAAAAACCTTCGGGAACAAAGTTTCAACGTGATAAACGTGATGAAGTGATCAAACTAATTCCAACATCCAGCCCTGGTGTTGAGCCAGACCTATATCCAGAATTCTATCACTCGCTATATAAATCTTCAATAACTTTTCATGCCCAAGATCCTGTTTAGGGTTCATAAATCAACATGGTTTGATTTGAGAAAATGTCCGAACAACTTCCAAACTAAACCTAAAATGACATCTTACTGACCTCTCAACATCGCTGCCATCCCAGATAATATCTGTTAACACTCTTAACGAGTATTTGTTGCACATCTATAACCTCAAATTACAAGGGGAATCTCAACAAGGCCCCTTGATAAGCTTCCAAAAGCAAGACGATCTATTGCTAGCTCTGCGTGTCACTCGATTGGATTACCGAATGTCATTTACCTCAGCGATCTCACATCCCATAACTCCGCCATGAACTCAAATCTAGTTCTAACTTTTCCTATAAAATCACAAACTATCATGAGCCTTTCCCCGACTAACTAACTCAAAGTTGTGGACAATACATAGTTTCATGACTAGAAGAACCCACACAAGAAGACAGACTCTGCGGTTTTACGCGATACAGGTCACCAGACCACCAGAATTTCAATCACTATACTCTCAACCATAACCAACTAGTCCAACTACCTAGTCTCGAGCCGATTACTCTCAGATCATCATCATAAAGTGTGTCCAAATCCAAAACATTGACTTCCTGCAAATGAATTTCTTCAAAAATCCTTTTTGAGCATCAAGCATCTCATTTCCCCCAATTGATTCCATATCTAAATATCTAAGCCAGTGAGGAAGCATCGAAGCCATTCATTAATGACAAAACATCAATTGTCGGTCTTCAACGACGAGAAGCAAGGCATAATCTACAACGAATATCTTGCAAAGCCGAAGCCGAAGCTCAACTTCAGTTTTCATACAAAAGGGTTAAGATTGATTCGAATATCACAGTTCACACCAATGACCTCAATCCTACCTCATCCCAAGTCATTCACTACCAAAAATTTTATCTTACAGATATGTGGATATCTCTTTTCCTAATGTTCTTCTCTATAGCTCCTTATCTATCAATACATCTTCCCATACGTGAGCCATATGAAACACCCACTATTCCCCCTCTATCTAGCTTTCTCGCTAATCCACCAAGAAACAGTTATAGACCGTACCAACAAATCGTCACGACACTTCAACCGAGATCATCTATCAAACAATCACTCATTCCGAAAGCTGGAATTACAAGTCCAGGTCTCCTCATGGATATACGCTCAGAAAATCTCAGTTTTCTCCTAGACAAATCGAATGGCGAAATAAGTATATCTTATCCTTAACACGATTCATCTTTTCAGATGTTATATCGAAAGAATGACTCCTCGGCACTCTTTCCCGAGCCGAATCAATATTGAATTAACATACCTACTCGTTATTATTCGCATACGACGATATTTCGAAAAGTATAGATTGAGTGATAATAAAAATATAGATGCTGGAGGAAAGATTGTATGTATAGGTTGATATATTACAAAAGCGGTTTGTTCTCACAAATTTCATTTTACATGCTACAATACATTTCATGATAATCAGTTTCACTACCTATTCAAAACATTCATCAATTAATTGACTGATCTTTCGATTAGGGCTGGCTTTCCCATGTTACTAGTAGGTAGGCTGTTATATAATATTGTGCTGTATTAAGCCACCCAAAAGACACGGGTTGTTACGTTAATATCGTCGAACTCAGCACTAGATATTATCTCCAGCCAGAGAGTTGACTGGATTATCATACAACTTTCAAAGGTTGTTCTATCTTTTAGTTTCCCTTTTCAAGACGGCCATAACTATATTAGCTGGAACCTCTATTTCCAAAAAATAAAAATAAAGAAAAATCTCTCGTCCAGCATACGAGTGCATCTATCTCCCAAAGACCCTCCGATACCTAGGTATCTAGATGAGATAAAAAAAATAACAACAATATACTCTGAGTAGGTACCTAATGTCAGTCAGTCTTGGATCTCTCGACTCGAGAAATAATACAATAAACGCAACATTCCAAATTCTTCAAAACTATTAATGGAAATAGGAATCAGAGAATAGATATGGTATTCAATTATTTGAATATACAGGAGTGAGTGCGATGCGGCGTTGAAGTCCTCTTCTCAGGATTTTGAAGATGAGAGTTAAAGGTAGGGGAAAGAGGACTGATATTCATACATAGGCTTTAATATAAATTGAATGATGATATAATTATGTAGAATAACAAATATGAGATGAGATTAATTAAATGAAGACTAAACTTTCTCCTTCTCTGTATAGGTAGGTAATCAATCCAAAGAGAAAGTTTGAGGTAGGTAGGTATACGAGGTACCTACCTAATTCGAGC